CAATGCATCATTTCTCCAATTTAATTGTGATGGTCTCAGAGGTAAGATCAACGAAATTGTAAGCTTTATGAGTCGGAAGAACATCAAGGTCGCAGCGATCCAGGAGACGAAGCTGAGTACCACCTGCAGGCTTCAAAGTTGTGATGGATACAACGTACTGAGGAAGGATCGCTCCAGAGGTGGAGGTGGAGGTGGAGGATTAGCGTTCCTATTGCACCACTCTGTCCAGTACAGACCTATCTCGCCTGAGCTTGACTCTAGTGACCCGTACATGGAATGTATGGGGGTAGCGGTCAAGTATGGAACCGCCGAGGTCAAGTGTAGAACCGCCGTGTACATTCCGCCGTTAAATAGCTGTGCCCCACGTTATATGCCTAATATCAGTTCACTACTGGTAGGCAATAACCGTCTGGTGCTAGGGGATTTCAATGCCCATCATGAATTATGGCATTCCGTCCTAGGTAATGACCAGAGAGGCATGGCGCTGGCTGAGCAAATCGATAGCTCCACGTTTTGCACGGTGAATGAGGACGCGCCCACCAGAATAAGGGGAGACTGCCACAGTTCTCCGGACATATCCATCGTGTCCCCAGGTCTGACGAATGACGTAACTTGGCAATCAGTCATTTCTCTAGGCTCAGACCACCTCCCCATTATTATCGCCATCAATAGACCACCCGACTTCATCGACTCTGAACGCCGCACTTTCCTTAACCACGGGAAAGCTAATTGGCAAGAATTCAGAGAGTATACCAATCGCCGCTTCAGAGAACTGCCCAACCCATCTGATGTTCAGGTAGCAGATAGGTGTTTCCGGGACATCATCAAAGCTGCAGCCGCTCGCTATATACCTGCTGGTCGAATACCTGAAATAAGACCAAATTTCCCAGCAGAGGCAGCGGGATTAGCAAACGAGCGAGATGAGCTTCGCCGTACTAACCCTAATAACCCCAGAGTCAGGGAACTTACTCTGGAGGTAAACAGGTTAGTAGGTGAGCATAAGCGGAAAAAGTGGTTAGAACATCTGAAGCATTGCAACATCGGTACCGGAACGAGTAAATTGTGGGCAACGGTTAAGTCGCTTTCGAACCCTGGAAAAAAGGACGATCGGACATCTGTCTCATTTAACGGCGTAGAAGTGACAGATCCGAAGAGGTGCGCGTGTTATTTTAACCGGCAGTTTGTAGAGCACCCCGAGAGTGACAGGGCGAAGAGAAGGATACTACGCCGTGTACGATCCCTTCCAGCCGAGGAGGTACCACCACAATTTACGTTGGCAGATGTTGCACAGGTCATCAGAAGCGCAAAGTCATCCAAAGCGCTTGGTCCTGACGGAATCTCAATGGTGATGTTGAAGCAACTGGATGAACCAGGAGTTGAGTATCTGACAAAGCTTCTCAACCTGTCGTTAGCCACCCTAGTAGTCCCCGATGCCTGGAAAATGGGCAGGGTGGTCCCGCTACTGAAGCCAGGCAAGGATGCCAGCAAAAGTGATTCATACGGCCGATATCACTTTTGTCACCAGTAGCAAAGACGCTTGAGGCTTTACTCCTCCCCAGCATAAGAGAGTGTTTCCCAGTAGCCGATCATCAACACGGATTCCGAAAATTGCATAGCACAACAACAGCTTTACACGCCATTTCCACACATGTCAGTAGAGGTCTCAACCAGAACAGGCCGTGCGATAGAACAGTCATGGTGGCACTTGATTTATCAAAAGCCTTTGATACAGTCAATCATGCCACACTGTTCGAGGACATTGAACGCACCACCCTCCGGCCAAGTTTGAAACGTTGGATAGTAAACTACATGTGTGGACGCCAGTCGTACGTGGAATTCAGAAACAAGAAGTCGAGCATCCGTAGAGTTAAACAGGGAGTTCCCCAAGGTGGGGTGATATCTCCGGAACTGTTTAACCTCTACCTTTCTGAAATTCCACGCCCTCCAGACGGCATAGAGATTATTACGTACGCAGATGATTGTACGCTCGTGGCGTCCGGACCCATTATTGATGACATTTGCGATCGGTTGAACGCTTACCTTGTTGATCTTACCGCCTTTTTCACTGCGAGGAATATGAAGATATCCGCCACTAAGTCGACGGCCACACTTTTCACCACATGGACTGCGGAGATGGGGCTATCCTTGAATGTGCAGGTCGATGGTGCTATTATTCCGACCACCAACTACCCCAAGGTATTAGGGGTCACATTCGATAGCCTCTTTAAGTCGTCCGCGCATACCACAGCTATCTGCGACAAGATTAGAAGTAGGAACAAGGTCCTCAAGTCTCTGGCCGGCAGTACTTGGGGAGCTGATAAGGAGACCTTGTTGACCTCTTACAACGCGATAGGCCGGTCTGTGGTAAACTATGCGGCTCCAGTGTGGTCCGCTAACGTCAGTGCTACGCAGTGGAAAAATGTTCAGTCCTGCCAGAATGCCGCCCTTAGAACCGCAACAGGGTGCCTTCTCATGACACCCGTCGATCACCTACATGAGGAGGCGAAGGTCTTACCGGTGCGACAGCATAACAAAATGCTGTCAATGCAATACCTGCTTGGGTGTTATAGACAAAGCCATCCAAATCACCATCTTGTGGATAGGCAACCTCCGCCCAGGCACGTTAGGAAAGACCTTCATGATCTGGAGAGAGAGGTACAGAGGTATAAGAGAAAGCCTCTAGATCAACAGGCCTATCAAGCGGGACTGAATAGTATTCACTCTAATGCGGTCTCAGAAGCCATTGAAGGATATAGAGTGAATACTGTGCTAGGAGACCATCCCCCTCCCGTCGCAGCTGAAGAACGAGAGCTGCCCCGACAAACCCGAGTAGTCTTGGCTCAATTACGATCCAGATGGTGCAGCCGCCTAAATTCCTACTGGGCCCGGATCAACGGCGAAGTGCAGAACGTCTGCCCAGCATGTGGCACAGGCCCACATGACACGCTGCACTTATTTCGCTGCCCAGCCAAGCCTACTCACCTAACTCCAGTCTCGTTATGGACTCAACACATACAGGTTGCATCCTTTTTGAGACTGGACTTAGAGGCAGAACCTGATTGAACTGAGTCAGAAAATGGAAACCGAACGAACACATATGTATGAGCTGCTACAACAACAACAATAATTTTGTTTGTTTACAAACTGCTGGACAACGAATATTTTCTCATCGGAGAAAACCAAATTCGGCAGTTAACCACTTTCGGCCAAGCGAAGCAACTCTTTAGCTCTTTTGAGTCTATTTGCTTTCTGTTGCGCTGTAAGTTCCTGCACTTTTTGGAATTTTAATGGCTTTAACCTGAGCTCGCTCATTTTTCGATATTTGCCGAATGGAATATTGCGATATGTGCACCTCACGAGCCATTTTTCGGCCACTGCAACGCGGGTTTCGATCAAGTCGCTTCTTTTTTCCGAACCATTTCTGCTGATGCTGCTGTTTTCTTCCGTCCACTTCCTTGACGTTGGGCTACGCCACCAGCATCACGGTAACGAACGATTGTACGAGACACAAACGATTTATTCACATTTAAATGCTAGAGGGCTCCAACAATAGTGGTAGTGTTTGTTGTTTTCCATCCAAATATAAGGAAAACACACTACACGCTTGAATTCCATCACGAATGACTTTTTTTCTGGAAAATTCTCACCAAAATGCTTTTGTACGCTTGTAAACAATATAATGAGCTGTCTCTGGAATAATTTTAACAGCTATCGGACTAGTGGCTTGGAAATGAATGCAGTCTGAATGTTGGTTGCAGTTTTTTCATCTCACCCTGAATATTCATGATCAACGTGAAATTGTATACTGAGTAAACCATTTCCCACTGCCTTTGCTGTCATGTTTGGTTCTCTGTGTGTATTAACTCCTTATTTTCGATATTTTGAAGGTTTTGGTACAAATTTCTCACAACATATTAATTTTTTCGAGGTAATCCGATTTGGTCTTAATCAAGGGTATAAAAAGTTCATTGTCACAGCACAATCAATGTCATGTTATGTTCGAAGTACCGCAACATAGAAACATTTTTCGTTTTTATTTTTGACAAATGTGAGATTTCAGAACCACATCAAATGACCGTGACTGCCAACTCTGCTCTGGCATCTTTATAGTCACACCACGGTCGAAGATGTGTAATATTGGAATGGATTTTCTAAAACCACGGTTTTTTTCGCCTTCGCTCAATTGTGAAATTTCTGGTGAATATTTTTGTCGAATATTTTTTTCTTAAACCACAATTATTGTAGATGTTAATCATTTCTGGATGAACTAAAAAACTATATTTTTATTATCATATAAAATTTGAAAAATTATCAAAATAATAGTATGTAGTGTGTTTGAATTAATGACAAACTATTTACATTGTAACCTGTTTATCCAAATTATCCTGATAAATATAATTTCTTTTTTCAATTTATATTAAATAGGTTTAAATACATGTATGATTTCTGTATTAATTTTAATCAACAGATAATTACTGTTCATTCTAAATTGCTCCAGTCTGTCTGTTAAAACTTTTTCTATACCCATTGCCTAATCTATTTTTAAAGAAATTGTTTTTATATAACTGGGGAAATTTAGCAAAAGCTAGCTATAAAAAGATAAATAAACAGGAAGACCCTAAAAGTGTGAACATCACTTTTACGTTCCAGCGTTGTATTGATTTAGACCACATTAAATAAAAAATCTAACCTAATTCTTATTTTTACATCACTAAATTAATGCTAAAATTTACTGTTAGTTGTATATGTTTCGTTGAACTATTTTAATATTATATATGACAGAATCTGTAATTAATGAAAATCAGATAAGTAGATAATTACTATGCGACATATGTTCTATTGATTTTTTTCCACTGCTAATAGAGTACGCCTATACAGTGTACATAAACCAACCTCTTAAATGTTCACTTTATTGGCTACCCTTTCCTTTCCCACTCAAACTTGAAATTCCGTAGCAAAAATATTAATCATTAAAAATATTATATAATAAACTTTTGCAGGATTTTTTGGCTAAATTTCTGAGATGGATATTAAAGTCATAATTACATCAATCTATTGCGCAACATTTGTTTCTTCTAAGCCCTCCTGCCAAACAAATTATGAGTCTTGCCAGCACTTGTGTCCCGCTTATGGGTCTTTATTCACATGGGAAAGTGGACATTCCAATAAAAACCTTAAGTGGAATATCATCGAAACCGATGACTTTACAATTCACCAAATACTCCAATGGCGAACACGATTACCAACGACATCAAAAAATTACATAGACGATTGTTTTCTCTCTGAGAGTAGTTGAAAACAACTTAACACCTTCATTGACTGAGGTATAGCTACATTGCCCTTTAATTTAGGGTACTTTACGCGTTGGTTGTGTTAAAACCTAAAATATTTGTTATTAAAAGCTTGTAATCAATCTACCGTTAAGTGATACTTTATTGAATAATAGTATGTCAAATTAGATAGATTCCAATGACTGTAATACATCACGTAAATCTCAAACAACTAATGGATTTCTTGGAAGATATTTTTGTGTCATTCTTACACATATAAAAATACGACTTCAACCAAACCGTATTTTTATTTAATTGTTTAATTGAATGAGAATAAAAAAAGTGTTAAATAAAATAATTTTATACTTTGTAATAATTGAACAGGAACATCACTGAGGGATTGTTCAATAAGTATAATAATCCCTGATAATATATTTGATTTGAACTTTAAATGCTTTCTTTCACGTAATTTATAATGTATGTGAATGCAATGGTATAAGAATGCAATTTTATAAACAATAGCTTAAAACAAGTTGTAACAAGCAGAACTGCAAGAATGTAAAAGTTTAATTATATAGTTATGATATCAAAAGAAAAAAAAAAAACAAATTGCAAAACTTAGATTTTTGCAGGTTCTGGAACATTGACTCCTTTAGCTTACTTTTCCAATAACATTTACTCAGTAGCATTTTTTTCCTCTAGACAAAAAACGAACAACGTCTTGCCAAATATTTGTAAGCTAATCCAAAGAATTAAAAGAAAACAATTAACGAACGCATTCCATCCACATAGGCAGACGTGTTTATCGATATTGAAAGTCTGTATGTGGTTGTTGTTTTTATCGTTAATTTTGAACACATAAATGGCTAAAAGTGCTTATTCTGTTTAGCCTCCAATGTTTACGCACAATGAACGTTATTTCATGTCACGCGTTATCGATCAAACGACAACCACAAGGGAACGGCTTTACGACACTGAACGTCTCCACATAGTAATTGTAAACGAATGCATGTAAACAACAAAGGGAACAGTAATTATAAATGTAAGAGAGTGAGAAGGAAAGATTAATGACATAACAATGACAACTATAAAGGTAAGACTGATACATAAAACAAGAAATATGGGAAAGAAAATACTGTATCGTCGCCACCCACTTAGAAGTCATGACCCTTATATTACAGTGACTGCAATTAAACCTACCATCAGTTTTAAGTCAGATTTCGCCATTTCCTTTCCTTTCGGAGACCACCGGATAAATTTTCTTAAATTTAACCAGTTATGTTGAAATCTCCCAGAGTAATGTTTATGTATTACTTGGAAAAAATGACACAATGGTGGCTTCATCGAGCTCCCAATTTGTAGATCTGTTGACTCGGAGCCACGTTTTGTCCATTCATCTGCTAATTCATTGCGAGTGATGTTGCAGGAACCCAACAAAGCTTGAAGAAGGACTTTACTTTTTCCAGAGAATTTATGCATTCCAGAACTACCAAAGAGCCTGTTGCACTTTCCATCTTTGAACCATCGGAATATACAGCTATACCGCTGAAAGTTGGTGGAGTGCTCCCTGTCCAAATGTCTCTGCTAGGTATATGGATGTCCAGATGATTCGAAGTCTAGCCTAGGTGGTGTATAGTCACTGGTTACAACCCGAACTCCTATGTTTTCCATATACTTCAAAATTACTTAGTGTCCAAAAGATTGACTACGCCATTGCCCAAGTTCATTGAGTCTCAGGGTGCACCTTGCTTTCTCTACAAATTGACTTAAGGGTTTCAAATTGAGTAGGGTGTCCAGAGCAGATTAGAATGTGCTCCTGAGTGTATCTGTAATTAATAGAGATGTTACTCGTTGGACTATGTCAATGTTTTTTTTTAAGGAAGCTTTTTCTACAGCCGGAAACTTTCTCTACAGCCACCATACTAGCCGGACGGACAATTGACTCATATAACCATTTGATTATATATGCGACTTAAGCCCCCAGCTCTTTCCTATGAAATTTTTATAAGAGTAGAGTGTTATTAAGGCCTCCTAGCGAGCTCCTCGATATTCCTCTTCCAGTTGTTATTCGTGGATAGTACCGAGACGACTTTAGTTCCGTTTCGTTCCAGATCATGTAATACACACTACTACTCCAGAGTAGTGGAAACAAAGAAGTACCGTCCTGTCCCGGTGTTTTAACAGATTTGAAAATATCAATGCCCCACGAGATTTTGGGAATGCTTTGAAGAACGGTAAGATAAATATTACCCAACGCTTATATTTACCCAACGATAAATATTACCCAAAAACACAAACTTAACCTCGCAAATTAAATTTATCTTAGGCCAATATTGATCTCCTTCGTTCTACATTGTACAATTCAAGTTGGTCTAATGAAGGTAACATTGATTTGCAAATTCCGAATTTATACATTGTCATTATTGAAGTTATATTCCGACTCGGGACCAGTTTAGTTTACCCCACATCTTAGGTGCTTGTGTAACATAAAAAGTAGGTAATTTAAAACATTCAAAGAATGTAATACCACTTTAATTTATACATATTATTCACATGCTCGAAAAAATAGAAAAAAAATTAAGAAAAATGAAAAATAACATTCAGAAGAATCCTAAAAATTTTAATAGATTTGTAAATTTAAAACGTTAAGTTCGCGGATTTCCTAGTTACATGGAACTTGGTTGCAGGAATCAGGGGACCTCCTTAAGAAATGCGTATTCTAAGCCTTTAACGAATAGTAGATTAAATTATTTCCCCTGAATTATACTCTCTGATGAGGAGACCTTCTACTATTGTTTAAAAGTTGTAATTATTATTGTACTCTTACGTTCGTGTAAAAGATTTAGTTGTGCCTTTTATTAAAAGTCTTGTTGATAAATTAACAAATTTAAGAAAGATTGATTTTGGTTATTTCTGCAACTAAAATACGTTACAAATATGATGTAGCGCGTTGCTACTTGGAGTGTAAGACAATTATGTTGTGTAGTGACTGAGTTGTCTGAATGGCTGAAAGAGACTGAGTGAGTGAGAAAGAGTGTAGCTGAGGGTAGTGTTTGTGTAAGTGTGCCTTCATAATAACAATGATGCTCAGTTTTTGAATGTTTTCAGTAGAATCCTAACATCTCCCTTTTTGAGACTTCTCGGGGGTCCTGGATATTGGCTGTACAGGATGTCTTCGAGAAGTGATGCGTTGTGGAAGCATAACCGGTGATGATGGTGGAGTTGTGAAATCTTCTTCCGTTGGTGGAGTATGTTGAAGTCTTCTAGTAGGATTTGAAGAGGAAGATTATCATTTTGCTTTGCAGGTACAACATCGTGATCGGTTTCTCTTAGTCTGAGTTGATCTGCGTGAGATCTCACGAGAATTTGTTGATTATTCACTTGAATGAGGGTGTTGTAGGTAACATTTCCCACTTTGTTGATAATTTCACCTGGAACCCAGTAGCTTTTATTACCTTTGAAGTGTTTAGCGTAGACAAGATCTTCAGTAGTGAAATTTCGTGGTTTGGTGCCGTGTTTACGGTTGTACTGTACCTCCATTTAAAATGTTCTCTCTTGACTCGCTGGTAGAGGCTTTGTTATTAAGTCGAATACTGTTCTCATTTTTCGGCCTAGGAATGATTCCGCTGGGGAAAGTTCATTAGGTGAGTTTTTGTTCGGTGTTGAACGATACATTTCTAGGAATGTTTGTGGTGCATTAGATGCCGTCTCCTTTCCCTCTGATTTTTTTAAAGATTGTTTGAGAGTATAGACAATTCTTTCTGCATGACCATTGGAACTTGGTTGATGTCGAACTGTTCGTGTGTGTTTTATTCCTCGTCGTGAACACCGTTGTCGGATACGATTTGTTCTGGATTTCCAAATTGTGAACAATAAGTTGTTAGTAACCTTAATGTTGCTGCGGTCGTGGTTGATGAAGTTTCATATATGATAGGATATTTGGAATATGAATCAACAGGACCTGCGTAATCTATGTGAACACGTTCGAGAACGCGTGTTGCCTGTTGAAGTATGGAACAATTGAAGAATCTATGTTATTTTTATTTTCTGGCCAACCGTTATATACGTAGTTTGAAACTGTTTGTAAGGTTGGATCGTTTTTGGTAGCAATTTGTATCATTTTGAAACTAACTAACTGGGAGTGTTGATACGGTGTCTGTGATATCATAACTTATGTCTTTTTCTAGGTTGATGGAAGCTATGATGTACTCATCTGATAGTTTTTCATGTGCATTTATCAATCTTGACAGAACGCCTGCGTGTCCAAAATCCTTAGTATTAGTATACTTTATATCGAAATCGTAGGTGAGAAGGATAAGAGCACAACGTTGTAACCTGTTCGCAGTATAGACCGGAACACCTTTTTTGGAACCAAATATTGTTAGCAATGGTTGTGGAAACGTTGTACGGCGAAAACTAGTGCTAGTCCTTCTTTTTCGATTTGACTGTAATTTCGTTCCGTTGGAGTAAGTGATCTTGAGACGTGATGAATGGCTTTGGCACTGTTGTCTGGGTAAGTATGGTAAATGTGAATTGGCAGTGATGGGTTGTAATGAGTTAGTAGTAAGTCCGATGTTAGAATGCGTTTGAATTCGTCGAGAGATTGTTGACATTCTTTGGTCCAAAGGAGTTTGTGATCGTTTTTTAAGAAATCATCTAATGGTTTTCGGATATTTCTCATGTTGTAGACATACTTTCCATAGTGGTTTATGAAGCCCAGTAAGGATCGTACTTCTGTATGTATGTATTCATCGTTTGATATTAGGCGACATCAAGCAGAAATTGGTTTGTCCCAAAGGTTAAAACTTTGTATCCAGTCGATACCCATAATATTTAAGTTATCGATTTCCGTGACGTAGCATTGTAGAGTTAGCGTTTTGTCTGATACCGATGCGTTGCATTGACACTTTCCGATTAGGCTGATGCTGTTGGAATTTACGTCTGTTGCAGTATCATTTGTTTTGTATAGGTGTGGTTTACCTATAGATTGCCATGTTGATCGTGATATGATTGAAATATCGGATGCTGTGTCTATTTGTAATTTGACTTGTTTCTCGTTTATCTCCACGGTAGTGTATTAGTGAGGTAGTGAGAAAACTGCGTTGGCGTTGTATTTTGTTTTGTCCGACTTGACTTTGGCTTTTTTTGTAGTGGACTTGCCTCGTTTTGCACTTTTGCAAAAGTTATCCTTGTGACCTGTCTGCTGACACTGTGAACATTTATGATTTTTAAATGGACAGTATTTTGAGTAATGCATATCTCCGCATAACCAGTAGGGCGTTTTAGGAATTTTATGGGAATGCTTGTTTTATGGGAATGATG